CCCTACCGGTTTCGGCTGGCCGCCGTGACCAGCTTCATCAGGGGTCGTTGCTGGTCGGAAAAACAGTCTGTCCCTTTATACATAGGAACTGAGAAAGAAAAAACTACTGAAAGGAGTCCTACCTACGTCTGGAGCTTATAAATGAAACTAGACAAATATCCGACCCAAAACATCTCCGGTAGGCTTATAGAAGACAATAAACCAGCTTATCGAAAGGTCTTCTATTTGGCTGCTCCACTGCCACGTCTGTACTTCTTCAAAAATACATCCAAATCCACTTGTCAACATCGAAAACGTGTTCCTTAGATAAAAAGGATGGTTAGCTGTTCGAAACCGTATCCTAAGATCCTAAAAAAGGTGTTGAGGAGGCGGGCCCAGGTTCAAGGCCGGGGCTGCGAAAAAAACAGTCCTACTCCCGCATCCTCACTTCTCCCAATTCATTCAAGCGCTCTCCGTTCAATAATTCCAGAGTTCGAGGCCTAAGGGTTCCCCTAGTATACCACACATCCTCAAACCATTTTCTCATCCGCATAAGCAGCTTTCTCAACTCACAGAGCACCATACTACTAGAAAAAAAAAAAAAAAAAACCTCAACTCACACAACACCATACTACTAGAAAAAACAGAAAAAAAAAAAAAAAAAAGGAAAATAGAAAAAAGAGAGAAGAAAAACCCTCAATTATCAGTTATCCCAGCCGGTCAGAACGGGTAGCCATTCGCCCCACAACCCAGTAAATTTCTTAGAAAAGATGATCAGCGCATTATCGAAAAAGTCGTCGGGGTATCCTCTCCGCCAGAGCTCAACTTTGAGAGTGAAAAGAAAATGAATTTTGGTGCCGCGAATAGAAGAGAAAACTTGCGCCCGATGAAGAAAGGAACCTATTACTGCCATTTTTTGTTGTTTGCTGGAGTAGGAGCTATAATCCTGTATACTCTGAAAAGTCAGATGGGGGTTATTCCAATTGATTTGATTCTTGTGGGTGGGCAAACAGGCAAGTCCCTTGACGCCTTCCAAAATCCTAATAATGCATCCAAGGAATTCCCAGCACCGCCCATCACTGGTTTTTTCCAATGTCAACTTCTCATCATAACTGACGCTGAATTGTTGGATCAGTTGTTGCCCTTTCCTGGCAGAATCAATACAGTCCTTCTTGCATATTACAAATACTGAAACATCGTCCACCAATCTGAACCCACAAAAAAACTTCCTATCATTACCTAGCGCAGAGAGAAAGGAGAACTCATTAAAGGCGTAGAGTAGACTTGCAAGGGTAGGGCTTGATGATTTCCCCATGGGAATGTCCACCATCTGTTCAAGGATTTTATCCGAGACCCGGGTATAGGTGTTCTCCAGTTCGAAAATAACAAAGGTAAGAATTCTACGAAAAGATATGAAACTCCATCCTTCCTCACACTTACTCTTAATCATACGAGAGCCTTCTGCAATGCAACACCCCGAAACCCTTCTCCCATCCAATAGTCGGATACCCATTCGAAAGCCCGCAAAATAGAAGCATGTGGCAAGTTGCAAAACATTTCTTTGACGTCATAAGAAACTCCAATAAGATACTCATCCTTCTTCAAAGAAGAGTTCAAGTGGCAGATCTCCTTCATAAGATCTTGGGTTGCTCATAGATTGAGGTGAAAGTGTCACGGCAAATTCCAAAGTAGGAGATTAACCGCTCGTGAGATCTTTTGTCCTCCAACAGCAGAACATTATGAAACGATGGACAGATGGGCGCCATTTACCAACATCCTTGTGCTTGGACATACAATATGCTTTCCTCAAGCAGCCATGCGCATTCCATTTACCATCTTCCTCCAATCCCATCTTCTCATACTCAGTTTTACTCTTTCTCAATATTTCCACTTCATCCGTATCGCGAATCACTAAAGATGGATTATCTAAGAAGAGTTTGTCAAGTCCTTGCTTGTAGAGAGAGGCACAACAAACATAAGTATCCCTAACGTTGTGATCTACCGCACAACAAACCAGCCCCTCCAATCTCCGTTTCTGAGTTGCGATTTCATCAAGGTTGCACGAAGTAGGTGGTATCTCATTGTCATGAACTGTAGACTCTGTTGCAAGACAACACGAAAGAAGATCGGCGGTGGAGATATCTTTGTCGCTAATGGGAGACAGAGAAGTTAAGGAGAGGAATGAACTAACAGTCTGTTTCCTAAGGTTAGAAGAAGCATATCTCCTTGAGGGTTCTATAATATTCTTAGAGTGCTTCATCCATGGTGGGAAAAGTCCTTCGCTGTTCAATCTGAAAGATACATGTCCGTTGACCCTAGGAAATACTTCCTCGGCCTCATCACATCGGCACCTAAAGTCCGTCGTCCTAGATGCCTGTCGAAAATTGTGAATACAGTCACCAACCGTTCTATTCCTTCGCCAAACCACCCTCATCCTTCGTATTAGCATCTGCTTCCATCCTTCTGAAATGCCAAAAAGTCTGACCAGCGATACACACGACTGACGAACCTTAGCCTTATTATATACCTTATGATACTCAATCTTAATTACTAACCATCGACGCAACTCAATCCCAAAGCATCTTCCAACTGCCTTCGATAAAATGAATCGTAACCGTGCCCTGGTTCTTTTTTCCGTGACGGTACGTATAGCCGAAAAAGCAAGCACTAGCTTCTCGAAGGGCCATCGATATAGTTCCTTCCTTGTCGTCGGTTATTACAACAAGGTTGACAGCGGTTGTTTTAAGTTAAGGAGTCGGTTCAAAAAGGGAACAATACTAATAAACAGAATAGTACACCCATCAACCAACCAAGATCTGGCTCGTCGAACTTGAAGAATACCAAAAGAGGACGAAACCGTCGAACCACCATATAATCTTTTTAAAACATCCCATCGATCTGCAAGTCGAGACCCCCCACGACAAACAATGGAACAAGTACTTTTTCCATTCTTACTGCAGTGATCTAAAATCCTTAATAGAATTGTACTGACAATCCCGACACAAGAATGAAAACTAAGAATTGATATAGGCGGTCGTTCAACAATTTCAACTCCGTTCTTTCTCTTCTCTCGCAATCTTTCTCTCAAGCCTTTCCTCCTTCGTTTCGTACGACAATATTTATCACGTGTATTCAGTCCAGATCCTACAGTACGGATAAAAAGCTTCTCATTGGTGGTCAAATCTTCATTTGACGAACAAAGTAACGGAATGGCTACATATCGGTCAACTCCACATCTTCGGAGCCACTTGTACAACCTCTCATTCCTTCTTCCCTTATTAACTAATCCCGCATCGCACACCCTGTAGACGTGCTCACTCCACCTCGTCTGTATGTCCCTAGTGGTGCTACCGATATAAACGTGTCGACACCACGGTGATACAAGAGCATAAACCAGCGGACCTTTTCCTTCAAAAAAATCAAAATTGCCAGTCAACAACAGCGACACAGAGGTAATAAACTTATTAGCCCAAGGAATTTGTCCGCATACAAGTAATCCCAACACAAGTAAACAAAAAATGGTGTTTAACTTCTTGCATCTAAGGGAATCCGTAGATCTACTTCGAGCAACACTACATCGTTGTGCTAGATTCCAAAACCAAGCCGCGTCCTGTACAGACACTAAGAGACATCCTCTTCACCGTCGACAGTCTTACCTAAATTGGCACTTACCTCGGTGTTGTCGTCCGAGATCTCTTCAATCACGACCCCATTCTGCCTGGTTGTCTCATTAGTGCTAGTACTAAATGCCCTTGCTACTCTCTTCTTTACAATCTCCTCCTTCGTTTTGTCCAGTGTTGTGTACTGGACTCCGTCCTTCTCACAGATAGCTTGTACTGCATCCTTCTTCATGGACCTCAAGTCAAGACGGTTGGATTTGACGAAAGCCTCCTTATCGTTCTTCAGCTTATCGATCTTCGTCGCATCGTCAGTCGTTGTCGCCTTCTTCTTGCCCCGGGATGAAGGGCCAGTGGTGTCGTCGATGACGGCTTCCAACCGGACTCGTAGACAAGTAGCAGTCGACTTCGTCTTATCAACCTTCTCTATTTCCAATCTGTCGAGCTTTTCTTTCAACTGCTCGGCCTCTTGTTCCGCTTCCTTCCTTCGCTCCACCTCTTTGGAACGCATATCCCACAGAAGGTTGACCTCCTCTTCATTCTGCTGGGCGAACGCTTGGTAATCTTCCACCAACATCTTCTTCCTTGGAGCGGAGGTTTGTATAGGAGTGATTCTTGATCGCACCCTGACCTGGGTCATTGGTGTCACTCCAATGTTGATTCCGCCTCTCTTGTTTTCGGGCCTTTGTGCTTCTAGCTTCCATGCTTCTGCCTCACTAACTGCGCCAGCCTTCAACCTTCTCAGAGTAACTATCTGCTCCTCCAATATCGTCATTCTTTTTTCGTACGACTCATGTATGCTTTTCCAAGCCTCCTCTCTCTCAACCTGAACCTGACCAGTAGCTTCAGCAACATGACCGGCAGGTCCCGAAGGCGCTTGCGCTCGCTTTAGCTCGGCAATCTCGGCACGAAGCTTCTCAATTTCGCTCATCCTGGTTCCAGCTGAAGATGTGTTCACTCGCTTTAACTCAGCAACTTCGGCACACAATTTGTCAAGTTCACTGGCTCCGTTCTGCTTGGCAGGCACACCATTCACTCCAGTTCCTCCCAATCTTGTATCTATGGTCTCACCGATCATCTTCTGGAGCTCCTCTCTATCCTTAATTTGTTGAGTCTTCCTGTCTTCTTCTTCCTTCTCCTTCATTCGCTTATCTTCTTCTTCCTTCTGGATTCTCTCCTTTGCGCTCTCAGCGTCGTGACAAGTCTTGATGGTCGCCACGGTCTCCTCGAGCACCTCAAATCTCCGCATGTTATTTTGCCACCCAGAACCGCGGTGATACTGATAATTGTTATTATAACCATAATACGACTGACTAGGGACTGACGTGGGTTTGAACAGGGACAATCGTCGTGCTAGGATTGGCAGGGGGAGGAAGAACAGATGGAGGTAGTGGAGGTGGTGGATTGCGTGGCGGATGCGGACAGAATCGTGCAAAATGACCTGCTTGTCCACAATTATAACATGTGCGCACGTAGCTGACGTCCAGGTTGGAAGCCATATTAGATGCAAGCTGAGATTACGAAGCCACACAGTTATAGTGTTATTCCTATACCGGTTACTTCGCGAAAAAAAGTTGTAATAATCAACTTCGTTAACTTAGCATTGTAATGATGACAACAACACAGAAGAAAGCATCACGACACATGACGAGACAGAGGAAATCAGCAGACAGACGGAAGGAGGAGGGTGATAGACAAGACGATAGACATTAAACCGAACGCGACTTCATTCGTCGTCGTTAAAATTTCGTAAATATCCAGGACGAATGTACGGCGGATGGCCCTACCGGTTTCGGCTGGCCGCCATGACCAGCTTCATCAGGGGTCGTTGCTGGTCGGAAAAACAGTCTATCTATTTATACATAGGAACTGAGAAAGAAAAAACTACTGAAAGGAGTCCTACCTACGTCTGTAGCTTATAAATGAAACTAGACAGATATCCGACCCAAAACATCTCCGGTGGGCTTCTAGAAGAAAATAAACCAGCTTATCGAAAGGTCTTCTATTCGGCTGCTCCACTGCCGCGTCCGTACTTCTTCAAAAATACATCCAAATCCACTCGTCAACATCGAAAACCTGCTCCTTAGATCAAAAGGATGGTCAGCTGTTCGAAACCGTATCCTAAGATCCTAAAAAAGGTGCTGTTGTAGAGGCCAGTTACTAGGCACACGTTGATCGCATGAAGCCGTCAGTAGCGGAAAGAGCGGTAAACTACAGAGACTGCTTGGAAGTTGTATTTGCCAATCCCCCTTGTTAGCTAGCAGTCTGCGGTTTGTCTGACTGTGAACCTGCCCCCACATCTGCTGTGATCTGACTAGGTGTGTGCAACGGGACTGTTGTGGTCCCTGGCGTTGCCACTGTGGTTACTTCGGTGGCCACACCAGGGTCTTTTGCAGACCCACTGGGTGCGCCCAGTGGATCTACAGAGGCTCCTAGTGTTGCCACTGTGGTTTCCACTGTCATGGCAGTGATGGAGAAAAAAATCGGAGGCTAGACTCAGGCTATTGCAATTTGTAACCTAATAACCGTGTTGCGAACCATGCAAACCATGCGGGCAACACAATGATGCTATAATTTCATGATGTCATAGATTGAACCACAGAGTAGAATATGTCGGCTCATAGAGAAAGTTCGAACCCGTGGGATGCGGCCTGGCACAAGTTTACAGGCCAACACTTCCCTTGGGACGCAAGGACTATTCTATTTGCAGTACTTCCCCCAGAATGAATGCAGTGGACGCATTTTATGTTGAACCTGTTCCAATATTCTCGTCTGGCCCTGCTCATGGCAGCTTGGCGGATGAGGTGTGCCCATGAGAGGAGTCAGCATACCTATGGCTTTCTGCAAGCGAGAGCAACGATCGCCGACACAATATTCTGTCAAACACAATCAGCCTGGAAGGAGTTACAATCTGGCCTCCGCAATGAGACAGAAGAACCTAAGAGGCGACAGATGCTCGACAACTTCCGGATGAGGTGGGTGGACCCAAACGGCAGGCTGTGCACACTACACTACCCCGGTAACCTGCAATGGCAACCGTGGCTGTCAACTGAGTCTGGCTGGGAATTCCTCCCACATGACCGCTTCATTTTCCCATTTCAACCAACCAACTTCGTCCTCGTGCCTGACCCCCTTGACCTTTCACAGCCCTAGCTATTTCTCAGAAATCTCTCAGCTCTCCTGAACTGCCCGCCCCCGACTCCTGACTTCGAACCCGTAAAAGAGAAGATACTCAGTACGAAAGCGTAATTAAGGGGAGAGGACTGAAGGGAAGGGAGACAAAGGGAAGGGGGAGGAGGGGAAAAGGAGAGGAAGGGACAGGGAGGAGGGGAGAGGGGGAGGACAGGAGGGGCAGAGGAGTGAGAATAGAAGGAGAGAAGGAAAAGGGGAGAAGAGGCCAGGAGGAGGTGGAGAGGCGAGGAGGAGAGGAGGGGAGGAGAAGAGGGAAGAAGGAGAAGGGGAAGAAAATAGGTATAGATGAGGAGGAGAAGGAAAGAGGGGGGGGCGAGATAAGGAGAGGGGGTAGGTTGAGAAAGGCAACATTATGGTAGGGAATTAGTCACAGAGGTTGGTCGTAGGTTAGTAGTGAATTTAGGGGTCACAGTTACCCCACTGAAGTAGAGGAGAAAAAGGAAAAGAGAGATTTGCATTCGTGGTTCTTTTGTTGTTTGTTCATTGTTGATGGTGGTTAGTCCTTGATTAAATTAATGGACTGCCTGAGGTGGTTGGAAGGGAGGTCTCGGGGTGGCGCGATTGATTGACACGTGGGCTCGGGGACACGTAAGCGCGCTCATGCCGCGCCGCCGCAGGTGGATGCGAAATTCCATCAGAGAATGTTCATTCCCTTTGCTGCCAACCACTGGGCCGATGGCACTACCTGCAAAGTCTGTTGCCACAGCAGACTCGCCGTCTTTTGTGAGGGGATTTTCTGCAGTGCCTGCCATTGCTGTCTCCAGTCTGGCTGGTTCACCTCTGCACCCTTCAGTCCTACAAACCGGGAGGAGGCCAGGCTTAGTGGACTATGGGATGCTTGAGAGCGGATAGCCATTACCCTGTCTTGGCTTTATAGCCAATGAGGGGTGTCTGGGTCCGGGCCTCTGAGTCCTGTTGTCCATTTTGCCATCCCAGCAGCAGTGGTTCCACCTTGAACTGACTCGCTTCCCCCAGCAGAATAGTCGTTTTGCTGCTCTGTAGGACTCTGACTTCTGTCAAGTCCGCTGTTTCTTGTATTGTCCTTTCTTGTTGTCGGGTCAGAGGTCCCTCCTGGCCACTTCTTGTTCCCAGCGACCATTCTTGCACCTTAACCCCTGAGGACAACTCCGGACCTAACGCTTCCCATACACTGTAGTGGTCTTCATCGGAACGAACCCAGGTCCCCACCACTCTTTCCGAAGATTTCTTCATAGTAGTAGACCAATGAGTGGGCATTGCTTCTAGTAGAGCTGTCAAATTACCCTGTACATTTCTCAGTCGTGGAAGAAAGGAGCGAGCTTCTGCTTCTGATATCCAACGATCTTCCTCTTCATTCCACAGGTGTTTAACCTGTATGATCCCTTTTTCCATCCACGCCCGCCCAACTTTGCCCCTCTGGGTCCAATGCCCCCTAGCAGATGGGAGTCTATACTCCCACCTCTGGGTCCAATGCCCCCTAGCAGTGAAATCTGGCAGTGGTGGACTAAGTTATGGAAAGACGTGGTTAAGAATACAGTTGAATGGAATGAGGACTGGATATTGTTTGGAGCCCTCCCATCTGCAAGGCTTAACTACTTTGAGGGCTGGGGATACGTAGCATTGGTTTGCAGGGGAGTAATCATGTAAGAAATTTGGAATGCAAGAAAAGAACTGGTTTTCAAGGGTGAACAGCGCACAGCCCTCCAGCAAAGACATAGTATACGCAGAAGCATCGGGCTGATGATTATGGCAGACTGGAAAATAAGCTCAGGCCGTCAGGGCAGAGGCTGACCGTGGTTTCAGAAAACCTGGGCAAGAGAAAATCAAATGGCAACAATTTCAGAGGACGGAAAATTAAGAATTGCCAAATGGTTGGAGCCACCTTGATTTTGGATGGTGGGTGTGGTGAATCATTACGTTTCTACCTTGTGCTTCTAGACAATGTTTTTCATGGATACGAAAGGGTAGAGGAAGGGATGCTGGACCCGGTTTCCAGCAGCTGGGCGCTAGTTTTAGCAGCGAACCACATAGAATACCTTTTTACTCTGTGCTTGAAGACAATTTTGGAAAGTTTTATTGATAGAGGAAGGGACGCTGGACCCGGTTTCCAGCAGCAGGGCGACATTTTCTGAGCTAGCGGTTGGTTAGCGAGCTAGGCTCATAAGCGAAACTATCTGAGGCTGCCATGATAACTCCGGGTAGAATTGTGAGGTCCCCGGCCTCGTTCTATTGATTTACAATGCAATTACAAGCTTTCCAAAACAAAAACAAACAAACAAACAAAAAAGAAAATTCCATCAGAGAAGACTTGACACACGGAAAACTACTCCAGTATCCTGGGCAGCGGGCGGCAGCCGAAGTTCCATTTTCTTCCCCCCCCCCAAAAAAAAAAAAAGTTCCATTTTCTGGTTGGGCGGTTATGTTGTCTGATCAGATGGCTATTGGCTGCTGACTGCAGGGCCGAGGTCCCACTAGCAAAGAGGATTGGATTGAACACCTGAACCTGGACTTGTTCGTGGGAAGGTGCAGAATGTCGAGATTGAACTGCTTTTCCTCATCTCTGCTTAAAACACGTCCAGAATCAGGATATTTATCCAACCCTCTTTTCTAGTGGGACCTCACCCCAGAAGGTAGGAGCGGCGTCGTGAGCCCAGAATGGATTGGGATAGAGTTTGTTTGAATTATAATTTAAAATTTTCATCCTTCTGGAATCGGCCGCATGGCCACTGATCCATGTGACCCCTAAGTGGGGCACGGCAGTGTTTTAGGCAGTCCTTTTGAAGCCGGCCGCAGTCTATGGAAGGCCCTGGGGCTAAGTCCCACTGTCGGGGTTTAGGCTTGGTTTCGAGTGCGCCCCGGTTCCTGCCATCTGTGATCTGAACATCTCATGGCCGCACTGTGGCAACGTGAAAAATACCCCAAAGGGAAGAGGACCCCCTCCCCTCTCCCCTTAGTAGGACGTAGCTCCCTGAACAGACTCTGTGGGCACAGTCTGCCTTTCTACTTTCTACTTCGTCGACGTAGAAGGGGGGGCGCTGACAGAACACATCCAACGGCAGATACAGACGGAACTTTCCCATCAATGGCAGATGATGAAAAGCAAATTAGA